TGATGAAGCAGGAGACCGAACAGGAGAGAAGAGCGAGAGAGGTAGAGTCCAAATATCAGATTGTTGGAGGCTCATGTCAGTACATGTTCCAATACACGACAGCAGAGGCGATTGAACAACTGTGTTTCGCGATGGCTTCTGTGGATAATTTTGAAACGCTGATGGATTTGAAAACGGGAGACCAAGCAAAGCGGATGGTGAATCGGCTGCATGGAATGTATCGTGTTGGAGACAATGTGCACTGGGGGCTTGTCAGCAGGTTTGTCGCCACAGAGCTAGCACAGAGGCTTGGAGAAACTTTTGTGAGAAAGATCGAGCAGTTGGTGGGGATCGCTCAGAATCCGATACTTCGTTGTTTGTTGTTTGAGATGCTATTCTTTGCTCGGATAGGAAACAACCCAGGGCTACGTGTGACCAGTAGGACAGGAGAAGAAGTCAATTGGGAGAGCCTTGCTGTGAAGACGTTTGACCCGACACAACTCTATACGTCTGGAATCGAGAGGAGTGTATGCCTAAAGCCAATAGCTTGGAATCAGGGCAGCTACGACGCGGTGATTCTAGATCTAAGGGAGAGGATAGTGCGCTTTGTGCAGGTGACAGCGGCAAGCAAGCATGACCTGAGACTGCAGTACTTTGCAGACTGCATGGATGCCTTGAGCATCGAAAGATGGGGTCAATGGAAGTTGGAGATTGTTTTCGTCGTCTCAAAGGACAATCTTGCAGAGTTCAGTCTGAGCGAGGTGGTCGAGGAAGGCGCGCTCGCTAGGTATGGTTGGAGAGCCGGAGAGGAAGCGAGCAAAGCGTGTGTGGTTGGGATGGACCCTAGACCACAAGGATGAAGCAGCAGGATAGGATGACCATGGTGCCCGAGTTAGTGAATGCACCAATAGACATTGGGTTATGCTCGTGCAAGTGAGCAATGTATCAAATTTCAGCACCTTCACTGTGCAATGCTGTGAATCATTGTATCATCATTATTATTTGAGTTTATTAGACTCTTAGTCGAGAATTTCATAGCTAAGAACTATTGCTCTCTGCTCGTTTCGCGCCTACTTATCCGTCTAAAGGGGTTCCCAACCTTGGGAGGTTGCCCCATTGTCCTATAGGCCCCTAAGGCCCGGTTGCTTCCTTATCAGATGTTTTCAGTGACGTTGTCCTCCGGGCCCATCATTGTAAACCAATGCGGGTATGGTGTAGCCACCAGATACGAATACGCTCATCACCTCACCTGTACAAGCAGATGGCTTGTCCCGTTCTCGTCCTCACGTTTCCACGGACCATCGCTTTTGTAATGGTGTAGACTTGATAGCGTTTCATTGTCTTTTGTGCCATTTTTGCGGACAGTCCCTTCTAAACAACACTTTTTACAAGAGTTTTTCTTGCTTTGTGTGTGCGCGCGTTTCTTTTGTGCTTTGCAGCAGTGTGCCTGGCGGGACTCGCCGGAACTGTTGACAGCGCGGCAAGGGCGGACATCCCGGCCGGCCGTGCCCGTCGGGAGCTGCGCTCCGGTGCTAAACACCTATGCCACCCGAGAGAGTGCAGCCTTCCGAGCTGCAAGGTGGAGGACGACTCAGGAGTCCCGAGTCTAGCGACGACTCCACGGGCTATGATATGATGCTCTAGTCAGGTATGATATGATGCTCTAGTCAGGTATGATATGATGCTCTAGTCAGGTATGATATGACGCTCTAGTCAGGTATGATATGACGCTCTGGTCAGGTATGATACGATGCTCTAGTCAGGTATGATACGATGCTCTAGTCAGGTATGATATGATGCTCTAGTCAGGTATGAAACGATGCTCTAGTCAGGTATGATATGATGCTCTAGTCAGGTATGATATGATGCTCTAGTCAGGTATGATATGATGCTCTAGTCAGGTATGATATGATGCTCTAGTCAGGTATGATATGACGCTCTAGTCAGGTATGATATGATGCTCTTGATTCTGTAGTGTTAGAATATACCTTTGTGATGCGATGCGATGTTGATGTATTTCGTTGCGATGTGTCAATAAAAACAGATGAGATGGGACAGGACGGGACGAAAGGAGTTGACCTTAGATGATATGTATGAGAAGGAAAGAAGAATTGATCATATCAGTCAAATAAGTTCGTTGGTTTCTACACAATATCTACACTTCTCCTCTTCGATTGACACCATTCAGGCCTTCACTCTCGGGAAAACAGCAAGGGGGCTCAGTCCCTCTGGGTCCGTGACCACTGGCTGACCCGGCCCCGGCAACGGTGGTTTGAATTTGTTGTTGTGCCTGACACTGAGAGCACGACTTTAAAAATAATTCACAACTGTACAGTATACAAGAACGTCTTACTAACTGACGTGGCAGATGCACACTTCACACTGCACAGACAGGCGATCAGATCTCCCCAACGACTGATCGCACTGATTTGCAGTGTCCAAGTAAATTTGGAGCAACGAACGGTGAAAAAGTCAACAGACTTTGATATCATACGAGTGGACGGCCGAGATGCCTTGACCAACAACTTGACTGAGCTGGACAACATGGTGACAATGAGAGCGTGACAACGCCAGTTACTTAGATACAGACACGGGGCAGCGTGATTTTACTGTGATTAAAGCAAAGACATGTGTAGATCCCTCCCTCCTCTCTCTCTTCACGCCTCCCTCAGTGATTGTCCTGTCATCATAATATTTGCACGGCTTCTTGCAGTAGAAATCCTGACGCGTGGGAGTATGTAGCGTATTTGGATCTCAGATTATAGACACTTGGAGGCGAGTAAAGAGCAGAACCTTCATTATGAGGGGCTGATCTTCGTTTTGGGCGAGAAGGATCCTGCTCATCCTACCTGAACGAGCTCTTGTGCCCTTAGTCGTCGCCTTCCATTGTCACCACGTTGTCTATCTCAGGGGCAACAGTCATGAAAGGTTGATTGACTGAAATGGAAATCGAAGCAAACAAAGTAGGAAAGGGTAAACAACTAATCTGCCTCAACACGAGACCACAAAAAGGAAGAGGCAGCGAAAACTAAACCGCAACTCAAACCACGCGAGGGACAACGAGCAGGCCCTGAGCGTGAAGAATAAAGATACGTACAGGAGGGAGGGAAGTGACATGGAAGCATTGGATGGGACGGGAGGAAGGGAAGAGATCCACAAGGGTTCTATGTCAGTGCGAACGTTGGAAGATGATGAGATGGGCTTGGGGGGGGCAGTTCTATGTGGATATACACCGGAATCGTGATGTCTGTGTGAATGATAAGCGATTCAGATTAGAACAACAAAACCCCCAACTGATCATTATACATCAGCGTTCACCTGCTTGTCTTGCCTGCCGTCCCTTGCGTGGATGGAGTAGCGGTTCTTGCTGCCTTTTCCGTTTTCCTAGTATTTTATTGAGGCGGGTTTGTAGGGTTTATCCTCTTCCTCCTTTGTAAAGCCCTTCTGCTCAGCTGCTGATATCTGCTCTTGAAACTCTTATCCTGTTAGTATGTCATATCTTGACATTTGTTTCTCCTCACACCTCATCTCTTCTCGCCGGCAAGCATCTATAACATGTCGTTAGCAGGTGCATGGCGAAAGCTCTCATGGGGGCCTATGGTTTGTTTTGTGTAATCGGTATTGTTCTTGTTGATCAAAGCATGGTGCAGGGTTGCATCTTCTGATTGCAAGCGGTTGTGTGCTCCTTGTACATGTTGCTGGCAGATTCTCATCTCACGTGGCGCCATTGGTGATTCGAGGGGGTGGAATAGGAGATGCGAACCAGACCCTGCCGATACGCCAAGACCTCCATAACATGAATAGAGAGGAGTTAGATGCAAGGCTGTGGCTAGAACAGGACAAGATGAAGAGAGAACGGAAGAAGGTAGAGAAGAAGATAGTTAAAGTAGAACGAGAGATCAGGAATGTTCAGGCAAGAACGGAGAAGGTAGAGAAGAAGATAGTTAAAGTAGAACGAGAAATCAGGAATGTTGAGGCAAAGCACAAGGACTTGAAGAAGCAGGTATCGCAACTTCATGACAAGGGGGCCAACAAGAAGTTCATCAAGAAAATAACGCAGGAAATAAAGTACCTTCGAGACAAAGAGTTGCAACTACGAGACAAAGAGTTGCAACTTCGAACGGAAAAGAAGCAACTTCGAACGGAAAAGAAGCAACTTCGAACGGAAAAAAAGCAACTTCGAGATAATGTCAAAGAGAAGAAAAAGAGCCTTTCCTGGTCAGAGACAGATCTGGATCTTAGTCAAGCAGGATACAGTGAGGATCGCAAAATTTTCACCATCGATCGAGCATTACTGAATCCAAGTCCTGGGCCAGCAGGGCAGCTGATGCTCTACTGCAGGGAAAGCTTCAATGAGCAATGGCGTTTCCTTGAGGAGAAGGTATGCAAGGAAGGATATTTGGGTTGGATCCTAGGCCCTCCGGGGACAGGGAAGACGACGACGACGACAAGTTTCCTGCTATGGCAAAGCATGAAAGCGAGTTGGAGGGTGATGTGCGTACGACTCTGGAAGGCGGGTCCTGTCAGCCTGATACAGGTGGTTGACGGGAAAGAAAGAAGGTGCGACTTTTCTTTGAAGAGAGCAGGGGACGAGATAGAGGACTTCCTTGAAGGATGGGGAGGGGTCAGCGAAAAGTACCTTCTGTCCTTGGACGGTTACTTGGAGGGGAGTCCGGAACATGATAATTTGCTCAGTGTCTGCATGCTATGGCGCCGTCATGACATGGAGAATCGCCGGCTTGTCGTTACGACTTCGATGGGTGCTCGAATAAAGGTGTATTCTGAGCAAGATATGATAGAAAGGATCAAGGAAATGAAAGTATACTCGTGGATGCTTGAGGAGTACAAGGAAGCCGTCAAGCACGACCTTCTGTACAAAAATGTAGCTAACATGGTGGGATCGAGCTTGGGAACGAGGAATACGGTGATGAAGCAGGAGACCGAACAGGAGAGAAGAGCGAGAGAGGTAGAGTCCAAATATCAGATTGTTGGAGGCTCATGTCAGTACATGTTCCAATACACGACAGCAGAGGCGATTGAACAACTGTGTTTCGCGATGGCTTCTGTGGATAATTTTGAAACGCTGATGGATTTGAAAACGGGAGACCAAGCAAAGCGGATGGTGAATCGGCTGCATGGAATGTATCGTGTTGGAGACAATGTGCACTGGGGGCTTGTCAGCAGGTTTGTCGCCACAGAGCTAGCACAGAGGCTTGGAGAAACTTTTGTGAGAAAGATCGAGCAGTTGGTGGGGATCGCTCAGAATCCGATACTTCGTTGTTTGTTGTTTGAGATGCTATTCTTTGCTCGGATAGGAAACAACCCAGGGCTACGTGTGACCAGTAGGACAGGAGAAGAAGTCAATTGGGAGAGCCTTGCTGTGAAGACGTTTGACCCGACACAACTCTATACGTCTGGAATCGAGAGGAGTGTATGCCTAAAGCCAATAGCTTGGAATCAGGGCAGCTACGACGCGGTGATTCTAGATCTAAGGGAGAGGATAGTGCGCTTTGTGCAGGTGACAGCGGCAAGCAAGCATGACCTGAGACTGCAGTACTTTGCAGACTGCATGGATGCCTTGAGCATCGAAAGATGGGGTCAATGGAAGTTGGAGATTGTTTTCGTCGTCTCAAAGGACAATCTTGCAGAGTTCAGTCTGAGCGAGGTGGTCGAGGAAGGCGCGCTCGCTAGGTATGGTTGGAGAGCCGGAGAGGAAGCGAGCAAAGCGTGTGTGGTTGGGATGGACCCTAGACCACAAGGATGAAGCAGCAGGATAGGATGACCATGGTGCCCGAGCTGTGCAATGCTGTGAATCATTGTATCATCATTATTATTTGAGTTTATTAGACTCTTAGTCGAGAATTTCATAGCTAAGAACTATTGCTCTCTGCTCGTTTCGCGCCTACTTATCCGTCTAAAGGGGTTCCCAACCTTGGCCCGGTTTCTTCCTTATCAGATGTTTTCAGTGACGTTGTCCTCCGGGCCCATTATTGTAAACCAATGCGGGTATGGTGTAGCCACCAGATACGAATACGCTCATCACCTCACCTGTCCAAGCAGATGGCTTGTCCCGTTCTCGTCCTCACGTTTCCACGGACCATCGCTTCTGTAATGGTGTAGACTTGATAGCGTTTCATTGTCTTTTGTGCCATTTTTGCGGACAGTCCCTTCTAAACAACACTTTTTACAAGAGTTTTTCTTGCTTTGTGTGTGCGCGCGTTTCTTTTGTGCTTTGCAGCAGTGTGCCTGGCGGGACTCCCGGGCGAGTGCAGCCTTCCGAGCTGCAAGGTGAAGGACGACTCAGGAGTCCCGAGTCTAGCGACGACTCCACGGGCTATGATATGATGCTCTAGTCAGGTATGATATGATGCTCTAGTCAGGTATGATATGATGCTCTAGTCAGGTATGATATGATGCTCTAGTCAGGTATGATATGATGCTCTAGTCAGGTATGATATGACGCTCTAGTCAGGTATGATATGATGCTCTAGTCAGGTATGATAATGATGCTCTAGTCAGGTATGATATGATGCTCTAGTCAGGTATGATATGATGCTCTAGTCAGGTATGATATGATGCTCTAGTCAGGTATGATATGATGCTCTAGTCAGGTATGATATGATGCTCTAGTCAGGTATGATATGATGCTCTAGTCAGGTATGATATGATGCTCTAGTCAGGTATGATATGATGCTCTAGTCAGGTATGATATGATGCTCTAGTCAGGTATGATATGATGCTCTAGTCAGGTATGATATGATGCTCTAGTCAGGTATGATATGATGCTCTAGTCAGGTATGATATGATGCTCTAGTCAGGTATGATACGATGCTCTAGTCAGGTATGATATGATGCTCTAGTCAGGTATGATACGATGCTCTAGTCAGGTATGATAATGATGCTCTAGTCAGGTATGATATGATTCTGCAGTAATAGTATGAACCTTTGAGTCTTTCGCTTCCTGCCCCGTAACTATGACTACCTTACAGATTCCCATCCTTCTCTGCTCTTGCTTTCCAGTATGGCGTGATGCGATGAGATGCGATGCGATTGAGATGGTACAGGACGGGACGAAAGGAGTTGAACTTTTAGATGATATGTATGAGAAGGATTGAACATATCAGTCAAATAGTTCATTGATTTCTACACAGTATCTACACTTCTCTTCGATCGACACCATTCAGGCCTTCACTTTCAGGCAGCTCCCTCACGCGTTCGCTTCGATCCTGGTCTAATCACTTCACGCCAGTTCTGCTGTCCCAGATGCTCCTTGCGCCTTGCGCCATAAATGTTATCAAGGCAGCTGGTCTTGGAGGAGGAGACTCTTGATTGAGGAGGGGAAAGCTTGTCGTGGCAGGTGGTAAGGGAAAGGGAAGAAGGGCGGGAAGAAGGGGCAGGGCGGTTGGAACGGAGGAGAGGGCGTGCGGGGGGGAGGTCAGAGGAGAGGGAGACGCGGGACCAGGAGACGGGGGAGATAGAGCACATGGGTGTAGCGGGTAGGAGTGCAAGGATGCAGCAGGAAGGATGCAGAACAGAAACCAATCTAGCAAGTTTTATGGGATCTAGCGGGAGGAGAGGGGGCGTCTCTAGGGGGATTTGAAGGGACGGAATGCAGTAGTAAAGTCTAGCGACTGATCTAACAGTGGTGGTGCCTGTAAGGCTTGTGCCTCGTACCATTGAACTGCCAATCATTTTCTGTTCCTCAAGGAAGTACCCCCTTCTTCCCATTACAACGAAGGGGTACATAAGTAGTCATGCGTCTCTTTGTTGTATCTGGGAGACGACCTGACCCTAGAAAGCAACGTTTCGCAAGAGGTCGCTTGCTTTTGCGCATCGCTTCGGGAGGGTGAAGACTCCGCATCTGCTCACGTGTGATCTCAGTTTAGGTACCTTCTTTCCTTTATGCCTCCTACCACGCCGCCCCTCCCCCCACCCTTTCCCCCCCCCCCCTGCGTTCCCCCGCTCCTCCTCGTCCACACTCTCTACCCTCCCTCTCACTCTTATCGGCACATTCCTATGCCTGTCATGATCGCTATCTCTGAAGTCTTCCAACACTCTTCCGACTTCCCAATCCTTCATGCCTCAGTCTCCATGCCTGCTCGAGGGATCCGGCAGCACCAGCTGTCTGGACAACATCCTTGCAGCAAGGAGAAAGCTGCGACAGGTCGGACACGAGGAGAAGATGAGGGAAGAGGAGACACGTTTGAAGAGGAAGCGGAGATTCGACGTCTGATACTGATACTGGACCAACACTGACGTTAAGAGCGTTCGGGAGCAGCACATGACATGATGTACACGTCACTGGATATGCTTGGACAAGATCTCATGTGCACATCTCAGCTTGTCCTTGAAGAGGCAACGGATGCGAGCAGGGCGGGCGACATGACCTGATAGGACCCGGGAAGGGAGTCAGACCTTACGAGTGCGCATACGGCTGACGGGAAGGAGGAAGAGACATATGATACCTGGAGAGGTTAGGGAAAGAGCATATGGAGGCAGTTGGAGGCGTAGGAAAGCGTGGACAAGGTGCTATGCTGGTAGTGTAGAGATGGAGCTAGTGCGGGATAGGGATTGTATAGGACGCGTTGGTTGAAATGTCTCAACGGCGAAGTAAAGGGATGTGCTTATAAAACAAGCTTCTGATCAGTGCATTTCTGCTCCTTTTGACTTTCCGACTCTGTTTCATGTACTCTTAGCGTGTCCTTGCAGCACTGTTCGGGTCTAGATATCATTCGACAGGATCGGATCTCAGACTCCTCTGAGAGTCGGCCCGGTCTCAGACTGAGAGGTGGAGGGAGGAGAAAGACTCGGAGCCGGGAGGCCCCGAGAAGAGGGTGACAGCAGTTGGCAGGATTAGGTTACTGATCTTTAACTTAACTTTGAGTAAAGATTCAGTGAAGTACCGAAAACTTATCTCATGTAGCTTGCTCAGTTGTCTTAGTGTGCAGCGCTCGGCCGGGCCCGCCGGAGTGGCCCGGCTGATCCCAAGATTGTCATGGCCCACCCTGCTCATGATCAAAAACAGCCATGTAAGGCACCGTGACTGAAGTTCCAAAGTCACATTGCCAGTTTTGTACCGCAGCAACGGTCATGTAAAAACCTACACGCTCACCGTCGCCCTCTCCTCCTCACCTCCTCCTCACCGCTCGTCCGCTTGTCCTCGTTCACACGCCTCATCTCCCGGTTCCTCCTCCAGGAGGAAATCTATCTGAGATCATCTGCCATACCTGGCGCGCTTTTTGTACCGCCTTTCCTCCTGACATGATCGCTATCTCCGACGTCTCCTTGTCCTGTGCCCCCCCACTATGCCCTCTCCCTCCCTCTCCCAATCCCAGCGTCCCAGCTTGCTAAATCCTCAGTCGCCACTCCAACTCTAAGTCTCCCCCGGAAGGGCGAGCTGTGTTGACGTCCTCGCAGCGAGGAGCAAGCTGCGGCAGCTTGAAGGAAGAGGGAGCAGGGCGGAGGCGGAAAAGAACAAGAGGGAACAAGTGAGGGGAGGTAGAAGCAGGTGGTGCGAAGTTACATCTCCTAGCGATATCTCAGAGCGATCCAATTGGTATCGACAGGTGCTGGGATTGTAGTAAAGAGACAAGCTGCGAGCTCAGTCTTGAATATCACTTTCATGTTTCAGGCAGACCTCTCCTCGTTCTTAGGGTACAGTGAGGGGGGGCAGGAGGGAAGGATCCGCGGAGAGAGCGGGGAGAAAAGCAAGATTGAGCGAGCTGAATTCTCCTGAGGACAGTATGTTATTGAGCTCGAGGATGGGCAGCTGCAGAAGCTGTAGTCTCCTGTAACTGAGAGTGGAAAATACGGGTGGGTTCGCTTGTTCTGGTACCCATGGGCTGCATGCGAGGGAGGCTGGTTGTCGACAACACGTGGCGATTCCCATCTGTTGTAGTAGGAGCGTCGACAACACCTTGGGCGAGTCTGGTTCCCTTATATTGTGTACCACGAAAGTGCATGTCTTTGTGATGTCTCTCACATCAATTTCATATCCCTTCAGTTCATCGTCAAGTTCATTCCAGCGCAGTTGTCTTGAGCATTCGATTTAAGCGTCTGCTACTCGTAAAGCTTCGGTTCTCTTCCAAGTGTCTTTATTGTCTCATCTGCATCCTATCTACATCTTCCCCGACACTCCTCATCCTGCCCTCCCCCTATCCTCCTCCTCCCTGCAATGCGCTCGTCTGCCTGCGCCTGGCGCGCGAGCTGAACCTTGACCCTGGCGGCCAGAATGTTGTCCAGGCAGCTGGTCCTGGAGGAGCACATGCTGGGCAGGGACAGAGACGAGGGCTTGGGCTTGACGGCGACAGAGGTGGAGTGCGAGGAGGAGGTTTCGAGCGACGATGAGCGGCTGGATGGGCGGTAGGATCGGAGGAGAGGGCGGGCGGGCGGGAGGTCAGAGGAGAGGGAGACGCGGGACCAGGAGACGGGGGAGATAGAGCACATGGGAGGAGGGGCAGGAGGGGCAGGAGGAGGTAGCACAAGGAAGGGCTGTGGGTCTTTGTATGTGTGAACTTGTTGTGCCTGTAACGGAATAAAAGGGGACCATAATCAGTTGAAAAAGAATCTCCAGATCGGTACCGAGGGTCACGATACTACGAACGCTGCCCACGGACTCCTTCGGATCGGACCGCTTGCCAGGGGCTGAAAAACTCCGGGCCGGGCCGGGCGGGAGATACTCCGAACAACTCACTCCCGTGAGTTGATCCATAGCATGTCGCAAGTTCTACTCCGAGTGCCTTGCTACGCATGTCTATCAGCCGA